AGAGAGAGAGAGAGAGAGAGAGAGAGAGAGAGAGAGAGAGAGAGAGGGAGGGAGGGTGAGACGGTGACTTCTCTCTCGCACAAAAGGTTTTCATTCACGGCGCCGGATTTAGGGATTGATGCTAGAAAATTGCGTTCAACTTTGAATCCATAGGAGATTCGCGGGTACGATCAAGACAAAATTTGTGGTAAATTTTCTAATAAAAAATATGGAAAAAAAAAAGAAATTCATTGATTCAATGTCAAGATATAAATAGCAACATATATTAGATTCGCTCTGAATAAATAAACAAGCTATTGAAAAAAAAACACTGATATTCCGAATTACAAAAAAAAATTCATTAACTTCAATTTTTTTAATGGAAAACATTTTTTTTTCCCATCTGATCTTCACGCGGCTCTGGGGGATGAACGGTTGCGAATAGGGGTAAAGTGCCCTGAATATTTTTTGTGTAGAATTTTGATCTCTACAACTTTGTGTAGTACGCTTTTGGACGCACAGCGCGTTATTCATTAGTTATTTCGAAAAAACTGTTTTCAGGGGTAGTTTTTTGGCTTTTTCAACCCCCGCGCAAACTTGGGGAACCTTAAATATCCGCCATTAGTTTCATACGCCCAAATCACAAATTCCATAAAAAATGGAGCCTGTATCGCAAACTTTCGTATGTTAGACCGACGTTCATTGGACTAGTCGCAGATCCGTTCGGGGTTTCTCCGCGCTTTTGAAAATTCATTCCTCCGCTCCTACTTGAGATTAAGGAATGAAACCGCCGTCATTTATTGAGAATTTAATTCTCTATCGATCGGCATCGGTTTCATTCCTTCATCTTCATTAGGGGGGGAGAAATGAATTTTCTAATCGGGAGAGCCCCTCCGGGCTCACTCGACGTCGGAAAGCCGTTCGGGGTTTCTCCGCGCTTTTGAAAATTCATTCCTCCGTTTCTAACTGAGATTAAGAGATGAAACCGATGTCATTTATTAAAAATGCAATTCTCAATCTGTACGCTTTGATTTAATTCCTTCATCTCAATTAGGGAGGGGAGAAACTAATTTTTGAATGGGATGAACTTGTTCGGAGTTACTGCGCGTTTTGAAAATTCATTCCTCCTCTCCTAATAGAGACTAAGGGAATGAAACCACTGTCATTTATTGAGAATATTATTCTCGATCGATAGATGTTGCTTTGGTTCCCTCTCCGCAATTGGGGGGGGGGGAGAAATGAATCTTCCAATCAGGGGAATCCCTCCGGACTCACTCGACGCCGGAGAGCCATTCGGGATTTCTCCGCGCATTCGAAAATTCATTCCTCCGCTCCTACTTGAGATTAAGGAATGAAATCGTTGTCATTTATTGAGAATTTAATTCTCGATCGATCGGCATCGGCTTCAATCCTTCATCTCAATTAGGGTGGGAGAAATGAATTTTCCAATCGGGGGAGTCCCTCCGAGCTCACTCGACGTCGGAGAGCCGTTCGGGGTTTCTCTGCGCGTTTGAAAATTCATTCCTCCGCTCCTAACGGAGATTAAGAAATGAAACCGATGTCATTTATTAAAAATACAATGGTCGATCGGTAGGCTTTGGTTTCATTTCTTCATCTCAATTAGGGAGGGGAGAAATTAATTTTTGAATGAGAAGAACTTGTCCGGAGTTACTGCACGATTTTAAAATTCATTCCTCCTCTCCTAATAGAAATTAAGCAATGAAACCGCTGTCATTTATTTAGAACATAATTCTCCATCGATCGATATTGCTTTCATTCTTTCATCGTAATTAGGGGGGGAGAAATGACTTTTCCAATTGGGGGAGGCCCTCCGAAGAGCCGTTCGGGGTTACTCTGCGCTTTTGAAAATTCATTCCTCCGCTCCTACGTGAGATTAAGGAATAAAACCGCTGTCATTCATTGAGAATTTAATTCTCGATCGATCGGCGTCGGTTTCATTCCCTTCTCTCAATTAGGGGGGGGGGGAGAAATGAATTTTCCAATCGGGGGAGCCCCTCCGGGCTCACCGTTCGAGGTTTCTCCGCGCTTTTGAAAATTTATTCCTCCGTTCCTATCTGAGATTAAGAAATGACACCGATGTCATTTAATAAAAATATAATTCTCAATCGGTAAGCTTTGGTTTCATTCCTTCATCTCAATTAGGGAGGCGAGAAATTGATTTTTGAATGAGAAGAACTTGTCCGGAGTTACTGCACGCTTTGAAAATTCATTCCTCCTCTCCTAATAAAGATTAAGCAATGAAACCGCTGTAATTTATTGAGAATATAATTCTCCATCGATAGATATTGCTTTCATTCTTTCATCGTAATTGGGGGGGGGAGAAATGAATTTCCCTATCGGAGGAGCCCCTCCGGTTAGTCCGCACTTTTGAAAATTCATTCCTCCGCTCCTACTTGAGTAGGATAGAATAGAATTTCCCGAAGATTCCAAAAAGCTTCATTGTTCTTCGTGCATGAAAAATGGGGATCTTCGGGAAACTCCTTGCGATCACAAGACTTTTACCGATTTATTTTTCTCCGTGTGACGTCCGTATAGAAGATCAAAAAATCAATTTAACTTTGGGATAAATGGAGAGGAGAGAAAAACGTGAATATCTCGGAAATTAGATGCGACAAAGTGGGCCCTTTTCACGTGGACGTACACATATAATTGGACTGAAATTTATAGAAATTTTTAATTTGCAATGACGAAATTCCTTGAAATTTCCGTATTACGGCAACGCTATAAAAATTCCCAATAAGTTCCCGGAATTTCTGCGAAAATATTACTGAAACTTACAGACATCATTCCTGATTTCAAGACATTCCTTTGATTTTCAGGATCATGTCACTAGAAATTTTTTACAAAATGACTTAATTTTAACATTGCTTGCTCATTGCATTTCAGAAATGCAGCTGCCTAAAAAAGACACATCGATTCCTAGGAACAACGTTTTTTTTTCTCGGTAAATACAGACAATAGAGAAATGTCAGAGTACAGTGAATAAACTTCACTCGTCAAAAACTCCATAATGGCAGAGTTAAATTCCCTGATTTTTTTTCACTCTCGATTAATTTTTTAAAGATTCAAATTGATACTTAAGTATCAATTGATTCATTCACATCGTTCCATTCCATCGGGAGATATTGTCGATTGGAGACAATTTTTTATGGTCACTGAAGAATGCAAACCATTCATTTAAATCTCGCAATAATCTGCGAAAAGTCTCATTCGTTAATCTATTATTATTGATTTAATCCCATTATGTGTATGAGATTTGTTGAGATATAATCTCTCACAAATATTGAATATATTTCTCATCAAAATAATTTGAAATTCATTCATTACCTTTGTATCACTGACAAAATATGTAATAAATGTGAATAAGATGAATTGCTCGTTTTTTTTTTTTATTAAAGATCTAGTTGTATAGAAATTCAAATAAATGATCCTCTTTCACTCAAGACTTCATAATTCCTTCTCTCCCTCTCCTTTATGATCAACTAATTTACAAATTAAGACAATAAGAAGTTGTATGAACGAAAATGGAATAATCAAGCGGATGAGTGAATGCAAAGGAGGTTTCATGTTAGATTTAAGATTGGGAACGCATCCCTGTTATCGACTGTTTCCATGGTAATAGATGACAATTTCTTTACCCACAGAGACGGCCTCTCATTAGTTCATGCGCGCCACCGCTATGAAACTCTGTTCGAACAGTTCCCATAAGCCTGAGTGATCTCCCCTATTATCTCTGACCAAAGTGGCGATGAGATTTTTGTTGTTAAAAAACAATGAAAACATTAGACTGCAGCTATTACCGGAGCTGAAAGGACTTGAGGATCTTTAAAATAGCGACACTGATGCCATTTTCGGTGGATAAGATCAGCATTTATTTTATCGAGATTATTGTCGATAATCGAGGAATATACTGTTGGAGGTAAGGAAGGAACCGCCCAAATCCACCACGGTAACCTATTTTGTCAAGATCTCCCATGTGCTTGTGTATTCATCGTTCGATTCTATGTTTATTTCCCAAAATTTATCGATAATTATTGAAACTTGTTTAGTTACAGTAAATTGGTGTGATAATAATCATCTCAAAAGTTATAAGACCAACATAATCAATTACTTCTCTTTTGAATTCACCATTTGATTACTTCATTAACCTGGGTTCATCATGGTAAATATTTATTCATAATGCTCCATTTTTCTGTGTTTCTGGGTGAATAATCGTTCAGTTGTAGTCACATGTTTTTTACCCATTTTTATTTGTTAGTTTTTCCATTTTTTATAAGTTGACCATGAGTTTTGGTAACCAAGCAACGAAGGAACCACTATATTTTCACTCCTCAAGCCCATTTAACATTCAAGATAATTCAACGATCCTCTTCTTTTGTATTCCCAACACCTGGCAGTTAAATTCAGCCAAAATAACCAACCAGAGGTTATTTTCCCTGTGACAGTACGAAAGTCATGTGTCTCCCTTTTCCTGAATTTTCCAAGTAAACAAATGCATTGATTTTCGGTTAATTTTGGTAATTTTTCAGTTGAAACGTAAAGAAAATAGTTCAAGCACAAGTTTAATCATTAATTTAGAAGCTTTCTTTCCTCTTTATTTTGTAATCGTCTCCAGAATGAGTGATTTCAGGAGAAATTATTTAAGAATTATCGAAGTCCATCCTTGTCACACATTCTTATCTTGAGGACAAAAAATTTCATTGATATCTCATCCTAAACGTGCTAGTTTTTGCGGTAATTACTTCAATATAATGATGCAACGTCCGACGTATAGTCCTTCACTCCAGGACATTTATGTTCAAGGAATTCAGTAGCGAAGTGGTCAGACGGTTCAAGTCAATTTAGTCTTTAGTTGAGTTTTCCAGGAATATTTCCGAATTTAAGGGAGATAGCGAAATTTTCATAATAACCTTTTTTGTAGAGCGAATTGAGTACTACTAAAAAGGTTATGAGAAAAATTTTGCCATCTCCCTTAGTTTTCGAGATGTTCATTGAAAACTGGCCAATAGCCAAAATCGACTTAAACTGTTTGACCACTTCGCCACTGAATTGTTGATAATTTTTCGTGATTCCAAGTTATTTTTCATGGGTTGTAGGTACTAAATGTTGCTAAGAAAATCAGTATTGAATACAGGAGACGACTATGAAGATGCCAACGGAAAAGAAACTTCAGCGTATCGAGAAAAAGCGAAAAAAAATGGCTGCACTATTGGAGATAACAAAATTAAATGATAAAGATAGGGAAGCTAGAGCACTAGGTCTTAAAAACTTGGTAAGGGTTCTCAGAAATTATTTATCTTGTTTTCTTTAAGAACTTTCCACCTCAGTTGCAGGCAATCGAATATTTTCAATGAAAAATTCCTCTTGACAATTTCTTTTGATCCAGTAGTGATTAAATAAGAATCCCTGTTGATTATTTAACTAATTTTAAATACAAGACGGTTTTCCTGGGTGACATTAAAAAATTTCCGTACAGAAAATTCGACATTTCCGTTGGAAACCACAATAATTCCATAATACAACGTGAAATTCGAAGATTCTTGCTAAACGAATGCTCTACTATTGCCAATCGGTCCAAATTTGCTAAATGGTATTTACACAATCTTGTTTTTTTTGGAGTCTGATTTTAGTGCTTTATTACGACAAAAATTAATTGCATTTACGATTATTTTAATAAAATAGTAGTGATTAAGTTTTCAAGCAAAAATTTTGAAGGAAAAAATAAAATCAATTATTCAAAAGAGTCATTCTGAAAATGATTAATATTGATTAATCATTTTCCGAATGACAAATAATAACAGTTTGATCATGGGATAAAAATATCGTAATTGTTTTACAATTTCGAATATTGTTAAATAGGAAATGGAGTCAGATAATCCTCCAACATCTTCTGAAATGTCAGCCCTGAGTCCCAGTCGAAAGAGACCCTGCACCCACTCTTCAAGCGATCCAATCACCTCCACACCAGTAGGAGAAAATCCCCCAGAAATTTCTGAAGAATCAGACCCAGGGGTCAACAAAAAGCCACGTCTCGCTGGCGAGGAGTATGCTAAACTGAAACAGGAGCTTCGAGAGCGAAAGAAAATCCTCAAAAACATCCCACGATTCCGATTAAAAGCTGTGGGACAAAACGCTTGTTTAAACGACACAATAGGACCTAATGAGAGGATTCCAATATTCCTGGCAGACGTCCAGCATCTCCTCATGTACTCTCTACTGGGCCATCACTCACCTTTCTCTCCAGCTCGATGGTGCCACCTGGAAAAGTTCAACAAAGTGTCTCATACCGTTGTTTTCATCATCGAGGGACTCTCCATGTATCATTTTCACTCGTACGAGTCCATTTTCACACATATAGGAAATAATTTGGAGCATCGGTTAGAGATGGTAACTCCTGCTGCTTATGGTGGGTCAGTTATTGAAGAACTGGCTGCTGTTCCATTGACAGGTGCGTTGACTATCCAAAATTATTACTGTTATTTGAATTGATATTTAATCACAACAAAAATAATTTTATAAAAAGCGAAACATAGAAGATTGTTCATTTTCATTTCATAATCGTAATATTGCGGGGCTTGGATTTCCTTTTTCATTATAATTTACTTTACATAATTATATTAATTTATATTTCTAGTGGAAAAACATATTTACAACAGAGGCAATCGAAAATTATTCTCGTTTTGCGAAAAGAAATTGGTAATGATCCTGAAAATTTGATGGAGTGAAGTAGCGAACGAAGATGCTTTGAAAAATCAAATGTATACAAGTTCGAAAATGAATATTTCAAATATTTTTTTTTTAGTTAAGAATCTTTTCTCAATCTTCACTCACAGATTTCAAATTCAAGTTTAGCCGTAACTTAATAAAACATAATAAGTTAATTTTCACCGTCTCGTGGCGTTTTGCATTATTTTGATAACATCTATTTTGAGGAAAAATACTAACAGGCGTTTTTAAAAAAATTATATAGGCACAATGAAACGTCTCATTTATCCCTAAAATTATTTTCGAAATGAGTTAAGAATCAACAAAAAAGATGACATTGGTTCATTAACATTCATGGTTTTTTTAATTAGATTCACCCACCTTTTTCGAAATTTTGCCAGTCTAACCCCTTAAACGATTACAATCAATTGAGTCGTAATGGAAAATGATCCTTGGCTTGTCAAGAATTTCACCGCAATATTAAGGAAAAAAAAGCAATAAATTGGGCAAGAATCCTGATATTTTGAGAAAGAATTTCATGAGAATATTACAAGTTTTTATGAAAATATTGTAATCTTCACTATACAGAGACAAATATCAAGAAAACAGTAAGAATTACTAAACAATGCGGAATGCAAATGCGTTAGAACTTATCCATCTTTTTTGTACTTTTCCACCAACAAGTTTTTCTGCGTCACCTTTTTCCATGATTTCAAATAAAAAATCCTAAAATACAATTTTTGCCGTCAATTACCCAGATTGTACAGTAATTTGCTAAACAGCTTGTGCTCTCCAAGACGGTATCAATTTTTCACAAAATCATCCCCACTTCCAGGTACACAAAGCAAAGCCCTGATCCAGCAATTCGGCTCCCTGGAAGCGGCCATGCAATCCACCGGAGACCTAGTAAAACTCCTGAAAGTAGTCTTCCCCATGCGCTCCCCAATCCCGAACGGTCGTCCCAACCCCCAGAACCTCCCCCCGACCGACAAATTTCCCCGCACCCAGCTCCTCCTCTCCCCCTGGCAGCTCGTCGAGGAGAATTACCCCCTGCCGCTCCGAGGGGGTCTCGCTATCCGCTACAAAGACTACATCCTCACCAAGGACGAGTACCTGGAGGCCACCCCCACGTCCCCAATGTTCGGTCTCGACTGCGAGATGTGTCGCACAACGTCAGGCTTCCTCGAGCTCACTAGGATCTCGATCGTCGACGAGAAGATGAACGTTGTCTACGACTCCCTGGTGAAGCCCGAGAATAAAATCACGGATTATCTCACCAGATACAGTGGCATAACCGAGGAGATCTTGAAAAACGTCACAACAACTCTAGAAAACGTCCAAAATCGACTGCGTGAGCTCCTTCCCCCAGACGCCATTCTCGTGGGCCAGAGTCTGAACGCAGATCTCCACACCTTAAGAATGATGCATCCTTACATCATCGACACTTCCGTCATCTTCAACACGACTGGCGAGCGCTACAGGAAGACAAAGCTCCAGGTATTGGCCCGAGAGTTCTTGAGCGAGAGGATCCAGGAGAGCAAGGGTGGACATTGCTCGACAGAAGACTCCCAGGCTTCAATGAAGCTAGTGCAACTGAAGTTGGCTAATACTGTGGACTTTGGGGATGCTGTGCTCATCGGTCAGAGGCAGCTGGAGGAGACCCTGAGAAAGCAGAAGTCGAAGGAGGAGACTCAGAAGTTTGGGGTTTCGATATTCAAACACGTGACGAAGGACAAGAAAACTGCAGCCATTGTTGGCACGCCTGATGTTATGAATGAGTATTCGAGGTATTTGAAGTCTTCCAGTCTCCAGGTGATGGATGATGCCAATTATGATAAGAATGACCAGGTTAGACTGGTTCTTGCTGAGACGAATAAACAGACGGTGAATCGAGCATCGCAAATCGCTATGGAACATGCTCTGACTTTCTGTCATGTTAAACTCCCTAAAGATCATCTTCAGGTGGATAATTTAGAGAAAACTTGTCGTGCTGTCAACAAGTGGATGGTCAAGATCTGGCATCACATGGCCATCAATGGCCTAGCTTGTGTTGTGTTCAGTGGAGAAAATAATGCTTCCAATGGAGCTTGTTTTCTTAATTTGAAGAGGGAACAGACTTCTCTTCGTGGAATGCTGGAGAAAAGTTGAGAGTTTGTAGAGGAGAGTAATAAATGTGTGGCTTTGTTGGGGAATAAACCATTTGAATGATTCATATTATTGCGAGACTGAATATTCATGTCTTTTTTTTTAGGTGGGAATGTACAAATACAGAGCGAATTGCATGTTGTCAATAAACATTTTATAGAACGTTTAATTCATTTTGATGGTGTCTGGTGAGGTGAATGAAATTCTATTTGTTTATGTCGCATTGATGTTCATTATTGGAGGATGTGTTTATGGTTGGTGAGTCCATTCATCGAGAGGGGAGTTATTCCAGATGTGATGGAGTGGAAAATTGGGGATAAATCCAGGAAACATGATTTGGAAGATTATTTTGAGAATAACTTTTGCTCCATATGCTAGCACTGTTTCTCTGGGTGCAATATAAGGTTGAAAATTTTTATTGCAAAATAGATTTCGTTTAGTGGCTGTAGTGGTCACGCGGAGAGTGTGTGGCTCCGGCGGTCATCCAAGCTAAGCAGCGTTCAATCTGCCCAGTACTTGGATGGGTGTCCGCTTAGGCACACCTAACCGCGTGGGACTACAGTCGCTAGGCACGAATGTAGAGAACCACTGGGCCCATTGAGTCAATGTGACCAATGGACACAGTGCAATCCCTGCATTATCGACCGGCTGCACGACTGAGGTTTTCCATGGTTTCCCTGGCAGTCCAATCCCGAATGGGGTGCAGTTGGGGATAAAGTAAGTCGGCCCATGGTAACGCAGATAGGGAAGGGAACAAAAATGTAAAAACCCGAGAGGCTATACATATGGAACCAAAATAAAAATAATAGATTTTGTTTTTTCAAATTTTATTCGCTGTGCAGACAAGAAATGTGAATTTCTAGCACTCCGTTATTCCCAATGCTCGTTTTATATGAAACGAGGGATAGCAGTTTGTAGTTTTGGCTGTTCAATAATCACAGACAAAAATTAATTTTTCAAGGAAGTAATAATAACGATATGACAGCAATGTTGTAATTTGGGGACTAAATATTTCTTGATCAATTTTCCTTTATAAAAGATACGCGACCGGCCGCGCACGCGCTGTATCATCAACTCACGTAGTGGCGCTTCGGTTTCAGTTTACGCTTACGCTTATTCGAGAATTTCGAGATATTTCGACATCGATTTCCTTTCTCCTTTTTACGATAGGATTTTTATCCTGAAAAGACACCGTCTTGTATGAATGGTCCGCCTCTTGAGCCAAATATTCTGTTGTTGAAAACAAAGCAATTATTCATGTTTGAAACCTTCAAATTCGAACCAAACAATTGTTTTTTTTTTGTAATTTTCAACTAATGTTTTTGTTGGCCCAAACAAAACTTGGTTGAGAACTTGTTCGTTTTTCTCTCAGTGTGGATTTTGTTTCGTGTCGCTTTTCCATATCTCCATTGTTTACAGACAAAAAATGTGTATTTTTACATATCAAATATTTTTTGTTTGAAACTTTTTTCTCTAGCTGCCAGCGTTTCCGTGACATCATGGTTCAAATAATTGAATCGCTATGAACAAATAGACGTGACCACTGGATTATTCAGTCGTCTCATAAGTGATTCGTTTGGAAGATTACCCGAAAATGGAGTGAATGACCGCTGACAAATTTCCACCACGCGGTAGCTAAGTCGAACCGAACGTTGTACCTACTCTAAAATCTTCCTCTTCACATGACTAAACCCCTTAGGAACCAATGAAGTACTTGTTATTATGCACCCCGATTAAACGGATATTGAAATAAACTTTTCAGACCGTGATTGAATCAACTTAAAAGATACGAAAAAACGTAAACTGGGAAACGATTTACTGAAATCGACCCGAGTATTATTACTATCAGAATCATCTTTGAACTTGGTTCAAACGACACTCAAATAAGTTTTTCCGAGTCAACATTCGCACGGTTCAAAACAGCATCCTTTCAATTTTTTTTATCGTATACCCTTTCGGGTTTTGACGATTCGGGGAGAAACTATCCGAGTACCTTCTATTTAAAGCCGGAAATACAATTCTACAATTGAAAAACTATCAAAAAACCTCCATTGCACAATTGGAAACTAAAAATCAATTAGTATGTACGTATTAACGACATAAATGGAAAAAAATAAATTTTTTCGAATGCAGAAATTTACGTGACTCATACAATACCTTATATTGACCTTGAAACTGCCTTGAACTGCCTTTCTTCATGCTACTGTCCAGGTCTTTCTTTCTTCTCAATAAGGAAATCCGAAAAACTGATGTCTTGGTCTTTAGTTGTTTTACTAAACGTGTCAAGAATGAAGAATGAATAGGCCGATTTTTGCACGTTATTCCTAATTAAGTTATCAGCGGTCAATGTATACACACAGAGAAACAAATTTGTTGAATTTAAATTCAATTTCAACAAATGTTTGTAAAAATTCAAACCATATTTTTCCTCTCATATTCCCCGGAGAAGAGCAGCCATCAAAAAGTTATTAACAAGTATATTTTTTGGAGTTCCAGTTCCGGAAAATGAGCACTAGCGTCAGTGACCCAATCATGGAACCCTTAAGAAACGAGGCCCAGTTATGAAACCGTATTGTTTTCAGGAACCTAGAAGCATTGTTGAGTGGATATTTTTGGCTTCAGAGAAAGTGTGCGGGTCTTAGTGTCCATTTATCTTCGTTCATCACAGTAAATATATAGGATCACATGGATTTTCCACTAAATTTAACGCTGATTCCATAACTGGTTCCGTAACCGGGTCACTGACGGTATTTCTCTAGAAAAATTGAAACTTTTTTCGAAAACGCAAGAATAATACGCCAATAATTGGACCAGTGTAATATTTATTAGATTTCTGCTTCCGAATAGAAGGCTTATATTTGACCAATTTTTCGATTTCCTAATTTTGATTGCAAATAGTCTAGAATATTATGAGACGTGAAGAAATGATGTTTTAGGGTCATGCCTGTGTTAAAACTCGGATTTTTGATGATTAATTTTTAGAAAATTCAACATAAACAAGCAGTTGACCGTTCCTATATTGCAAAAAGCATGTGACTGTTACTTTATGTGTTATTTGTATTTTAATTTTTTATTTCTACCAATTCCATTGGTAGTGAGCTTCCGAATAGATCCATAGCAATTCCCTTTTTCAATTAACAGGAGAAACTATTTTCTCACGTCACATTCCTATCCCAATTTTTCCGCAAGTTATTGTGCGAACAAAGAATTTAGGGAAATCGCTTATACGGAGTTGGTTAATTGAAATGAATCTCCAAAACTTTGTATAAACGGGTACATATATTTTGATTGACCTAGATAGAAGACATCGGATGAGTATTTTGAAAAAAAATGAAATCGGTCAAGTAGTTTTTGAGATATTGACCAATATAGTTATATACAAAAAAAATGAATATCTCTGGAACTACTGGACCGATAGTGCTCAGCCAAAATACTAACCTTTGGTATTATGAGAGCTACAATGATACCAAATCTCAACCTTCTACCTCAATTCCTTGTCGAGTTATTACGCGTATAAGGAATTTAGGGAAAAAATGGAAAATTGGCAATATCTCGAAAACTTTGTATGAACGAGTATATATATTTTGATTGATCTAGATAGAAGACATCGAGACGAGTATTTTGAAAGAAAAAACCATTCTACATCATTTCCAGGCAAAATTAGAGAATGTCAAAATCCGACGAATACCATGCTTCCATTCGGAAGCTCGATCGGTCCAGTAGTTCCTGACATCTAACAACTTGTTTAAATTTTGTTTTCCCTGAGCATCTCAAAAACTACTGCACCGATTTGAATTTTTCGTTTTCAAAATACTCGTGTCCCGTCTGGTCTCTTGTTTCTCGTTGTGTGTTTTTCTCGATGGCCTCTATCTATTAAATCCATCAAAAAATATATAAAATCGCTTTAATAAAAAGTTCAGAGATATTGCCATTTCTCCGTTTTTTCAGGAACAATCTTGTACGCACGATAACTTGAGAAAAAATGAAGATAGCAAGTAGAAATTTGCAATGATTATAACTCTTACAATACTGAAGTTGTTATTTTGGATGGGTGCAACCGGTCGAGCAGTTTCGGAGATATTTAACATTTTGTATTATAAATCAGTAGCGAAGTGGTAAAACGGTTTAAGTCGACTTATCTCCCAGTTGAGTTTTTGAGGAATATTTTGAAATCGAAGGGAGAAATTTTCATAATTACATTTGCTGTAGCTCTCAATCGGTTTTACAAAAAAGGTTATAATAAAAATTTTGCTATCTCCCTTAGATTCCGAGATTCTAAGTAGTAATACCCCGAGAGCTTCAAAATGATCGGGTATTTCCCGATAGCTTCGTTGCAAACAAACGAGAGTGTCAAGTTTTGTAGGTTAAGAATTTTCCTACAAAACTTAACACGATCGTTTGTTTGCAGGGAAGGGTGAGGAAAATACCCGATGCATTTTGAAGTTCGAGGGGTATTTGGAGGAGTATTTCCTCCATCGGAATTTCGGTCACTGGAGGGCAGCATTTGATGTCAATGTGGCACAACCTACACTTTGTGGTTTCAATTATTTTGTTTATTCTCCCTTAGCAACGTGCCGTGGTTTTACCAAATTTTACCGATATAAAACCGTGTAGGTTGTACCACGTGACGTCAAATGCGGCCCTCCTATTGGCCGAGATTCCGATGAGGGAAATACTCATTGAAAATTGGTCAGTAGTCAGAATTGAATTGTACCGTTTTACCACTTCGTTACTGAAATGTATTTCATTAAAAGGTTGAATATTGTCCTGTAGAGACCCTGTAGCATGTGGTTACGCTTGTATGCCTGTCACAAGGATAGGGAATTGCTACAGATCCTTTCGGAAGCTTGCTGCTAATGGAATCGGTGGAAATAAAAAAAAAGAAAGAGACTAATGACGCAAAAAGTAACAATCACACGTCTTCTGTCGAATAGGCTCGAACCTCTGCTTGTTTTTTAATTCATACTGTACATATTCAAAGTCAGGGCTTTGTACTCTTCAGTGCGATAGCAGTATCATAAAATGAAAACTACGTAAAAAAGGAACGGAAG